TATATATATATATATATATATATATATATATATATATATATATATATATATATATATATATACACATATTACAGCTACCAAAATGGCCAGAGGATGGCAAAAGTGCATCTATATCTACCACTTCCATGTACCACATTTCTTTTGATAACCAGTTTTGCTGCAAAGGTTTCCTGGAGCACAGCGTTAGCAAGAGCCTGGTTCACCTAACTTGGTGCACCAGCTGCTAAATGGCTCACCCTGTCTCCTCCAGCCATGCCCAGCGCCATTTTTTTTTATAACCTTTATCTGTGGTCATGACATCTTCCCCGGAGTTTATGAACTGCATTGTGCCCACTCCATGCAATTTATATCTCTCTATCGTCCTGCTCTCCAAACAAAGATTCATTTATGTTATTTTTTTATACTCTTTACACGTCTCTCCGTTGAATGAAGCAGTAAATGGCGCGAGGTGGCTTTTCGTGTCGAACTTCAGCACTTTACCACAATCTATCTGGTGACTTGAGCAAGAAACGAGGGGGGGGGCGCGGTTCGTAAGACCCGCCCCTTCTTCTGATTATCTAATACTGTTAGTTTCACAGTGCTCCTTTGCTACCATTGGCTGACAAACACAAGAGGGATTTCGATTGTCTTTTTAAAATTTATTTAAGGTCAGGAAATTTTTTTAGCCACAGTAAGGTCACCAGATTTCTGCAATCTAATCTGGGGACATTTCCAGCTCATAGATAAAAATACATGCATTTTATGAAAATTAAAATAGGAAACAGAGACAGTGATATTTTCATCCATTTTTACATTATTAATATTTAAACAAAAATCAAGTGTAAAATCCAGGAAGGTGCCTCTCCTAATAATAGATAATAAAATATAAATAATATTAGTCAATCAATAGTGTTTATTAGTGACATTTAGTCTTCTCTCTCTTTTTCCCTTGTGAGCAATATAACTTTTTGTTCAGGGACAGGATAGTTTGCATCAATACAGAGTCTGTGGGAATTTCCCTCTTTTTCCATTCCATAAAATTTAAATGAAAACTTTTTGTATATATAAAAATTTTAAACATATTTTTTTCCTAAACAATGATTACTATAAAATGAAATGGCATCTAGTTGTTTATACTGTATTCTGGACAGCTGCAGTGCATTGGGTAGCATTCAGCAGCCTGGATTAAAATCTGTGTCGTTATTAAAAAAGTTAGGTCAGATTTTTATATTCAGATTAAATTAGAACCATTAAAACACATCTATAAATCCGGATCATTCTCATGAGCAGCTTGAAGCAGCCACACCAAAAATACGTTTTGTCAGTACACATATAAATTAATGAAAAATAAGCCCCCAGGGGTTAAAAATAATGTGTCCTTTAATAACGTTATAGTGAAATCTAACAGGAGTATATTTTTACTATCCTAAACCTATTTTATATTAATGTTTACATAGAAACAGCTGTGATTTTTGTATTAAATAAGCTTTTGTTATCTTGATAGGATGTGGATGTAAAGATTATATGATCCTATTATCCCTGTTACAAAAATCCACAACAAAAAGAAACTATTTGGGCAGAAACTGCACCTAAGCTGGATGCTAATGGGGATTTTTTTTTTATATGTTATATTAAATTAAGCATTAATTTCTGCTTATTTTGCTGCTATGAAGTTAACAATAATATAGTCCATGAAGTCGGGGCTCAGCAAGATGGCAGGAACAGCGGAGGCTGTAGGCTTTGCTTTGCGCAGGCGGTCTGGAGCGGGGTGCTGACACATTGTAGCTGCGTCCAGCCGGTTGTGATAACGAACTTCCTTGTCCGTTTTAAAACATGTGCACTCTGCTCCTCATCTATACGTTACCAGCTGTTTCTGTGCGCAGCATGCTCGCACGCTCTTTTTACTATAATAACAGTTAACATGCAACATTTCCCCTTAACTCATAAGACGGTAAAATCGGGGATATTTCCGGGGACAGCTTTAGCCAGGGTCAGGTGGTTCAAAACGGGGACTGTTTCTGGAAATCAGGGGTGTCTGAGACGGAAATCTGGCCTAGGGCCGGAATACTTTAATCCCTGAAATGTATATTATATTTAAATTTAATAGCTGAAATTTAAAATGATTATATCTTAAAAAGAAAAGCAGAATAAAAGACAGTTCTACTTGTACAAATATGTACTTAAGTAGCACTAATAAAGGAGACCACTTTGGCTTAAACGGGGGATGATGACCTTTGGAGGACCTAAAAAACTTTTAATATCTATGAAACAAGAGTAGCAAAACCTGCGCTAATAAATCATGAACCATTGAGTCTATTTGCTGTTTTTTCATATGGGTAGGGTGCCAGTTTTATGCAGCTCAATCTCCTATTTTTTTTCATTAGGCATCATTAATCATTTTAAATAAACAAAACTATATTTTCATTTGACCCACTCTGTTTGTGGTTTTCCTCAATGTATGCATGTATGTACTCTTTAGTGTAAATTTTCCCTGCACTTGCTAAGTGAATGCTTGCTGGTTCAAAATTCAACCTGTCACTCCAAGCTCATGAGCAAGACCTGTATTTCAGAATGCATGCTGGGCACTACTTGGCAGCTTATTGCTCCCTGAGGGATTGGTTAAAGGCAGATTAATGGGGTTTCTAAATTCCTTTCTTTAATCTTTGCTTTCACTAAACAAAATGCAGAGGACAAGCTCACCTCTCTCAGTATTAGGCACTCCCAGGTAGATTGTGGGTATAGAGTCATCACTGACATCACTGTAATACTCTAAATAAGCAGCGTCTTTTTCCCACGTAGACTTTACGACCGGTACTGTGAGGAGGCAAAGAAAAAACACAAGATCATAATTTAATCACAGCAACTTCCAAACTAAATACCTCTTTAATAACTGAACTACAGATTAATGGTTACCAATTGGAAATTAAACTTCCCAAGATGTTCTATTAAATTATAGGCAGCTGTTTTAAATACTCTGAAAAAAGAGGCTCCCTTACTGCATATTTATCTGGATAAGAGCATGAAGGCAACAAGATGATGGCTTTCAATTAGAGTTTAATCAAACAAAATTAATTTTGATCCCCGACAAGAGGGACCAATCTTAAATTCATTTATTCTTAAACACATCCCTGAATGATCAGAATGTGGAGAGAACACTGTGACACTCTGCTATGCAATTCTAATGAGCTGAATTTAAACCAAAGCAGAGAAAAGTTAATGACATACTCCCCATTCTGCTTCAGATTATGGTAATAGTTTTAAAACAACCTGTCCTTATCTATTGCCTCATAGTGATCCCCACCACCACAACCACCACCAAAAAAAGGCATCAGTGTTTTGGATAATTGCATGAATTTAGATGAGGATGTAAATGTGGAAAGGTAGCTTCTACCTGACTGAACCTTTAGCTACAGGTGCTTAAACAAACAAGAGAAATGAAACCAAAAATGTTATTAAAAGCTAAATGCTGTTCTCTATTATTATTATTGACCTGTAATCATATTTACCTTGCATGTAGATAACAAAAGACTACCAGCAACCATATCTAAAGCCTAAAATATGAAATACAGTGTCATGTAAAATCAGCTTAAACCTCTTAAGTCATGTCCAAATTTTAATCCAGACTTTCAATAACTATCTTACAATTCAGTTCATTTTAGTATACACATATATGTACATACATACATACATACATACATACATACATACATACATACATACATACATACACAGATGGTATTCTGTGCATAGACATTAAGGTCTTCTGAACCCTTACATGGACTGAATGTACACTAAAACATGAGTACGACTAAAATACTCCAACATGGGACTAAATTATAAACACTGTATACTGTGTGTATACTGTGTAAATTACATATACTGTGTACATTTGGCTAAAAGCAGTCGCTTTGCTGAGGGCTATCAGCATGATGAATCCATTTAAATAAAACAAAGAGAACATTTAAAGCTTAAAACTCTGCATCAATATATAACTCGGCATGAAATATGCATCTTCCAATGGCTTATTGGGATCTAAACAAGCAGAATAATATTAGTTACTTTGAAAATATATGACATATTTACATCCTTTGAAACAAGGTTAAATGATCAGATCATGTCAGCATTACAATTTCAGGAACATAGTCTACAGAATAGATTATTTAAAATCAATGGAAAACTATTT